AAATAAAAGAAAGGGGAAGAAATTAACTGATGCTGGTGCGAAGAAGGCTGTACTTTTGAGCGGAACACCTGGTATTGGAAAGACATCATCAGCAAAGTTGGTTAGCCAGATGCTTGGTTTCCAGGCAGTTGAGGTTAGTTCATATTTGTTTCAGTTCATTGGTTAATGATCAATTTCTTGCAAATCCCTTGCTTGGAAGATATACTTTTTACTTTCTATCTAGGTAAATGCTAGTGATAGTCGTGGAAAGGCGAACTCTAATATCGCCAAAGGAATTGGTGGTAGCAATGCAAATACTGTAAAAGAACTTGTCAATAACGAAGCCATATCTGCTAACATTGATAGGTATGTGGTTTGTTTGTTTTAATTCTCCCGGTGTTGGTAACTGGCATGCTTTGTATTGTTTCCCTGACTTGGAGGAGTATTTGATCTTCAGGTCAAAGCACCCGAAGACTGTTCTTATCATGGATGAAGTAGATGGAATGTCTGCAGGCGACAGGGGAGGTGTAGCTGATCTTATTGCTAGCATTAAAATATCAAAGATTCCTATCATCTGCATTTGTAATGATCGATACAGTCAGAAACTGAAGAGTTTAGTAAACTACTGTCTGCCCCTCAATTTCCGGAAGCCCACAAAACAGCAGGTTGGATTAAGATTATTGTATTCCTTTCTGCATTTTTTTATAATAGGATTATGCCCAGGATTTCATGCAATGGACCAATGGTGGTCTCTTTGGCATGTTTGTTTTGTACCATTATTAGTCTTAGAACTCTTGATTACCTGTTTTTTTAACCATCAGATACTTTTTCTGGTAGTTAACAAGAAGTGCCCTGTGTATTTTTATACTTCGAAGATATGGCTATTGTGTAAATACCTCAAGTTTTGCACCTGCTTAGTCGTCGACTTTTCGCTTATGTAAAATTACTATCGATTTTCAGTTGCATTGACGACCTGGATGGTCGTATATCCTTTGTTTCATCATTAGAAATGTATGTTCTCTTACGAAATCAACTCGCTTTTTTATTACAGATGGCAAAAAGGCTGACACATGTTGCTAAGGCAGAAGGCCTTGAAGTTAATGAGGTAAGGTTCTGTACTATTGTCTTTGCGAAAGTCCTGGTTCATGTCATGCTCCTTTTACTAATCAAACAAATGAGAATACAAGTATTAGATTTGGTGTAAAGTACATGTGTCATGCAAGGTGAAGGGCAAACACTCTCATTGCTCTTTTCTTTTTGAAGCCTACTTTTGCATTTTATGATCTCATTGCTTTTATATTCTGGGATTCAACTCATTCGGAAATTGAATGCCAGTTGTAATGAAATATACGTTTCAGAATAGAATTTGATTCATGCGTTATCTGTGTCCACTTGTGGTGAGCAAATCATATATTTTTCCTTTTTGTCAGATTGCCCTGGAGGAACTCGCTGAGAGAGTTAATGGTGACATACGTTTGGCCCTAAATCAGCTTCAGTATATGAGCCTGTCCATGTCAGTCATCAAGTACGATGATATCAGGCAGCGCCTGCTAAGCAGTGCGAAGGATGAAGATGTTTCCCCTTTCACAGCTGTTGACAAGTAATGTCTCATGTCATTTTAGTTTAGTTCATCGTTGCACATAGTAGGGTATCTCTAAGTGTTTGGTATTGCCTAATCGTCTGAAGTTAATTATAGCTGTTGTTATGTAAAGAAAATTACTTTCGCTTGTTTGTAGTAGAAAGTTCGTTTTTAAGACTTTTAAGTACTCTGGAGATTTTCCACCGTAGTTTAACTGTTAACGATGTCCTTTCAGGTTGTTTGGCTATAATGGTGGGAAGCTAAGAATGGATGAACGGATTGACCTAAGCATGAGTGATTTTGATCTGGTTCCCCTTCTTGTACAGGTCTATAAACTTTGGAAACTTGTGGGGTTGTTTTATTAGATCTATTGGAACGGAAAATAATATCCTGCTACCTTTTACATTATTGATTTCTAGAACAGATTCCCACATGAGAATGTATAGAACAAGGAAATTTGTACCTCATTTACCGCTAAATTTATAGACTATTTATTTTCTTTCCTTGTTGCAGGAAAACTATCTCAATTATAGGCCAAGTTCCACCGGCAAAGATGAGGCGAAACGAATGGAGTTGCTTGCCCGTGCTGCTGAATCTATTGCAGATGGAGACATTATCAACGTGCAGATTCGGAGATATAGGCAATGGCAACTCTCTCTATCTAGCTGTGTTGCATCTTCTATTCTCCCGTAAGTTGTTTCCGGTTATTGAGAATAATATTGATCCTCTTTACCAAAAGTTCGATTTTCTCTCTCTTACATGAAGTTTGTATTGCCGATGAATATTTCATTTCTTACTCCCTACTGTATTCATTTTGTTTCTATGCTTTCTAAAACCTAAAGTTCCTCCTCGAGGGTGATCAAGTTTGATAAGTCTTATGCTACCATGTATGCGTATACATGTTGTGTCTTTTGTTATGGATTTCTGTTCTTCGGTGTAGAGTTCCAGGGACTGAATGTGATGTGATTTCTAATACTTGAGACCTAACGTATGCTTGTTTTGATTGAATAGAGCTTCATTGTTGCACGGTTCAAGGGAGACGCTCGAGCAGGTAATGGTCTTTCAGTGAAGCTCATTACACCATATAGATGTGACCTGGAACTTTTGCAATCATTTAGTGTGCCTCCTTTTCTGATGATCATATCCATATTCCTCATGAGGCATTTTTCTGCTAATAAATTTTTGAGTCTGCAATGCACCACTCCTATATTGAAATAGGGTTTCTTAAAAGTCAGTTCTTCTCTAGTTTGTAATATTTGAGCATGATTACTGTTGTGTATGGTTATGGTATGAGCCAGTTTCTCCCCTAAAGTATCATGATAATAACAATGTACAATTGTGGACACAATTATTGAATACAGGGAGAACGTAATTTCAATAGATTTGGTGGATGGCTTGGCAAGAATTCTACTGCAGGAAAAAATACAAGGTTGCTGGAGGATCTCCATGTACATGTCCTTGCTTCCCGTGAATCCAGCTCTGGAAGGTTGTCTCCACCTGTATAGTTAGTTTTATGAATTATTTCTTTCCGCTAGTAAAATGTTTCCTTTTCTTCACGATTTACTGCTACCATGCCTCTTCATATTTCATCCGTCTGTGAAGAGTCAACTTTCTTGACCTCCTGCCTTTCTTTATTTTTATCAATGTTTTGTGATATAGTTTCTTATTCCAAATTTCTGACTAACGTCAACATTTACCACAGGGAGACCCTTCGTGTTGATTATCTTCCCCTTCTATTGAACCGCTTGACGAGTCCACTACAGACACTGCCTAAGGTTCGACCTACTTATATAACTGTTTCTTTTTCGTGAACTCACTATACGCTTGTTTGTATCATATCGCGGACAAGGTTAATATGATGAGATATTCTATGTTATGTATTACTTGATCTTATATATGTGAAAATCATTACCCAGGATGAAGCTGTTTCAGAAGTTGTTGAGTTCATGAACTCCTACTCTATAAGCCAGGAGGACTATGATACTATTATGGAGTTGGCAAAATTTAAGGTATACACGATTTCAGTTTTCACGGGAAATCACTGATGAATCTCTACTAAAGTGTTGCTATTTTTATGAATCAGGGACGTCCAAATCCATTGGAGGGTGTCCCACCTGCAGTTAAAACAGCTTTGACTAAAAAATATAATGAGACGAATAAAACCAGAATGGTACGTGCTGCTGACATGGTGCAACTTCCGGGAGTGAAAAAGGCGCCAAAGAAGCGAATAGCTGCAATGCTTGAACCAACTGTTGAAAGTGTGAGAGACGAAGATGGCGAGCCGTTAGCAGAAAATGGAGAAGAAAATGAATCAGACGCCGAAAATTCAGGTACTGTGCATCTGGTTCTGTATAATCAATGACAGCTACAGAAAAAAAGTTACGAAATTACCGTAGGTATTTAATGACAAGATGTAATCCTGACTGTGTTTCTCTTTTAATGATATTCCAGAGGAAGCAACCAATGGAGAAAAGCTGGAGACAAATCTAAAAAACCTTAATGCTAGAGGTTGGTCTTGTTACTTCTCTTGATCAGCTGTGTTTTTCCTCTAGAAAACCAGTCTGTCTAGAACTAAACTTGATATATCTTGGGTCTAAACGACGACGACTTGCCAAAATCCTTACTCTACATCTCTCTTTGGGAGAAATTTTATTGAGCATCGTATCTAAGTCTTACAGAAACTATATAATCTGGCTGCAGGGATTCAAGTGGAAGTGGATTTGAAAGGAGCTGGAAGCTCAGGCTCAAGAAAGGCAGCTGGTAGAGGCAGAGGCAAAGCCAAAGCAGCAGACGCTCCTGCTGAGAAGAAAGCTACAGGACGAGGCTCTGGTACCAAGAGAAAGACGAGATGAGAAGCCAAATCGTTTCGGTTTTTAGGAAATTTTATCAAGAAACGTCTCTTTCTGGAATGTTCATGGTTACAAAAGATTTTGTATTTTTTTCTGTCCTGGTTTGGCAAATGACTGTAGGCTGTTTCAGGAGTTGAAGGACCGATACTAGTTTGTATTAAATGCGAAATGCCACTTGCTCGTTAGCTAAGATGAAAAAAACTTTCCGTCAGTTGTGTCTTCTACTTGAATGTCCTCACCAGAGAAGAAGAGGGCATTTCTAACTTTCCTTATTCTCCAAAGTAACCAAGGAGAGAGTTGAAGTCTAGAATTCATCTCGTTACTCTTTATGTCAGAGCCTCAGAGGGAAAGGGATAAGTGATAACGCACCATTGCCAAACAAACAATCTTGCATTGATGCAAGACATTGTTGACATGTCAGACAAGTCTTTTGTCAATCTTTTTACCGACATATTCTGATGCTACTGCCAGACAATTTGCCAACCTCATCCGGTGAAAATTCAGTATCTTCGGCCTCAAAGAGAGGACTGAGACTTGTCTCACAGATATCAGGAGCATTCCCACTGTCCTGAAGTTTATGATTGAGACCATTCATCAGAAGCACCATGATTTTTTTTGTCGTTTTATCCAATACAAACACGTATTCGTTACATTAATTTGGGTTTACTTGGCCAAGTTCTTAAAGAAGATACATAAAGTAACAATCATAATAATAGCATTTAGACAGAACTGGTAAGAGATCCGTAATGTGAACGACAATGTCAATTTACAACAGACCGACCGACCAACGCATAACTGTCTTTACTCTTTTTTTACTTTTTAGTATTTTTTTGACATAACACAACACAAAAGAAGGCGACTCATCTCTGAAGCAAGCCTCCTTTTGGTCATATAATCTTTCTTTTATTATTTGAGAATCAGAAACTCTTCCTATGCTCCCACACTTTTGAATCTGCTCTGACTCTGTATATATTATATATATATCAGGATTTCACAACGAACATCATCTTTCCGTCTCTGCAAAGAAGAAAGAAAACAAACAAGAGAACAAGATCTTAGAGTTGATGAACAACCACTTGATAATGCCAAAGCTGAACAAGTAAATCAAGGGGGTCCAAATCTACCTTTGCCAGCAAGATGATGGCACTTGTTTTATTAGCTTGAACCAGAACCAGCCGCACATGTTCCTTTAACACCTCTTTCATTCAAAGAATGTTCATCACCCGCTTCTGATCTACTATTGTGCTCATTGTTCGTTTCAGGAGTGTGACTTTCTGAGCCATTTGATACAGATGCGGTGCCGGGTCTACTGTTTTCTCTCGTTTCTAGACGCTCCATCATGCGGGACACAGTGGCGATTCCAGCAGTGACCTCTCTTTTAACCTCAGAGCCGAGATCCGCCATGGACGTGTTGCGAGAAAAAAATCTATCTTTCCAGCTCCTCGTGTTCTTTGATATGGATTCTTTGTATCTACATTGTGCAACCGGAGAATCACTTAGAATTGATAAGATCATATACAAGGCAAGGCTAGCCAGAATATAGAGATAAGAGATAGAGATGGTATTACCTCGTTGAGACAGCGTTTAGTCGAGACTTGAGAGATTCTGAAAATGATTGGAGTTCAGATGGTCCAGCTCTATCTTGATCACTAGGGGAAGATTGATTCAGGGACCTGTGTATAGTAAAACAAATGAAGTCTCAGATTGGCTGCATGTAACTACGCAGTAATACGAGACAATATAAGGTGAGAGTGAGGTAAAGACCTGCTGTTTGAATCAGATGCCGAGGGAGAAACCTGGCGGGGATGAGAAGAAGTTGGTGTCTGCATGTTCGACTGAAGAGAACCCTCCCCTAAAGAATTGTTGGGAGAGGGAGGAAGGTTTGCGACTGTGTCGCTCTCATCTCTCTGAGAAGGAGAGGAAGGCATGGGAGGGTGAGGTGGAGGAGGAGAAGCATTAGGATGCGAAGAGAACACCATGAACTGTGGATGACCTTGACTTGACGACCTGCTTCTGTGGCCTTCCCTTCTTACCCCATGCCTTGCTCGTCCCATAGCAGCAGCAGCAGCCAAGTGCTGAATGATTCGTTCTTCAATCTCTGCGTTATCAACCCCCACTGGGAGCTGCATTTCAAAGAGATTGTGTACATAGATAGAGAGCTCTGATTAGATCATTCACTAGCGAAGAGATGCAATCCAAGTCAAGATGATAGTAATAGGAGAGACACATACATGTTGTAATTCAAAATCACCAAGAGTTGGATGACGAAATATGGTGGCGTTTCTAGAAGGAGTGAAGCGGAAATTCCTCTCCTGTACTACAGCCTCAAGCAACTCCTGGCTGAAAACATTGAAAAACACAACCTCTGTCAAAAGGATGATTCATGGGAAAATTTTCACCAATAAATACAACTAAAAGTTATTGCAAGGAGACAAAATTAACCTTGTGGGGTCTTTAAGACTGATTGATTGCCAACACATTGGGCACTGTGAACTCCTCTGACACCTGAAACATAAATGCCACCGATCTGATAAGCTCGCACAAAGAAGAAACACGGATACAAAGCATCAAGAATTGATTATTAAAGAGTTCCTCTTGAGGAGTTTGTTAATGGAATCTCCTCACTTCCCCACTTAAGATCCCAAAACCAAGCCAAAACTCTCTGCTTGTTCTTCATATAGACAAGGAGAGTATGAAAAACCACATATTCTCTACCACGACAGAGCTCAAAAACAGCGGTAAATACTCTCGAGGAGTTAAGTTTCGAAAGAGCTTACCACTCAAGGATGCATTGAAGATGATACTCATGCTTGCAACTAGTCAACTGCGAGAGATCATTCGAAAAAAAAAAACAGAGAATGAATCAATGTGACTTAGTTAAAGAATCAAACTTTGGTAACATACAGTTGATGGATCGCTTTCGCAGAAGACTTCAAGGCAAATGCTACAGGCGTCATCACAAGGATCTTGGATTCCTCCTTCCACAAAAGCTGCTGCTGAGGTCAGATGTCCCTCAGCTGTTGTCGCATCTCCTGCTCCCTGAAATTGAATTGTCCACGATACCAAGATTTTTCAATTTCGCAACATCCAAGAGCCCAATACGGGAATCTAGAGAAATGTTCACAACTCAACACGGCTTCGAATCTCAAAATTATGTGAAAAAAATGGCATTTTTCAGAAGATTTTAACGCCGAATCAGATTAAAAAAAAAACTCTACTTTAAAATCGCAAACCAAAATCTAACGACATAAGAGTATAAACCCTGTAGAACAAGCTCATCGTTATCTCAGAAGAACAAAAATTAATGGGATTGGATTGGATTCCCTCCTCCGCGCACAAATGAAATTTCAAACGGGAATAAAGCAAAGCAAAACAAAACCCTAACCTCCATGGAAATCGAGATGAATCGGATGATGAGCTAAGGGAGATATTGAAGGCTGATGAACACGATCGAAGAAACCTAGGGTTGAGAGAGAAATCAAAACCCTAGATTATTCCCCGAAGATAATGGAGAGAAAAAGGAGAGGGAGGAGACGAAGAAGAAGACAAAGACGAAGGACCCTTTCTTCTTTTCTTTTCTCTTATTTTCTCTGCGCGTGGTCTCTATTGACTCTCTCTCTCTCTCTTTTCTCATATCTCACTCACGACGTTCATTTTTTTTCCTATTTAATTCAAAGCCATTAAACGAAAAAACAACGACTGGGTCCCATATTATGACACGTGTTTCCTTCTCTTGTACTTTATCCTTCTGAGTTGTTGTCTGATTTACTTTTGTCTAGTTTTTCACTTCATCTCAGACATTTTATTTTCACTCTTGGTAAAAAATAACGAATATCTTTTCTTAGGAAACAAATTGTAATGAACATTCGTGTGGTTTTTATGGTCAAGTACCATTGGTGTTGTTGAATTTGTGAGCTTATAACGATTAACGAACTACACAAATGCAAAAGAAATATCGTATTCTCTCTATAATATTGAAAAACACTACATACGGTGGAAACGTCAGTTAAACAAAAAAAACGACCAACAAAAGCCGAGAGAAAATAAACCAAAAAAAAAAGAAAAATATAAAACGAGTGAAGTCAATGTTACTACAGTTTTTACAAACGACGAACCCAACTAAGACTGGTCTTGACCAAGGATTTGAGTGTTAAAGAAAGGGGGACGTTGTTTCCAGTTTCGTCTAGCTTCCGATGTAGCCGAGACGATGAAGGATAATAGCTAAAATGAGCATGCATATTGCAAAGATCAACCCTCCTTTCCCGAGCAACCACTTCTTTGCTTTCTTCGCTTTCTCTATTCCGGTTTGAGCCCGATCCGCCCATCGCATCTGCAACAACATTTATACAATCAAGTTCTGTTTTTCACATCCTCTTTTTGGTTTTCATAAACCGAATGCGTACCATTTTCTCCAAGTCGTCGGGAGAAAGAGAAGCCATGGCTTGTTGAGCTTTCGCAGCATCTTCTTGAGAAAGCTTCATTCCGAATTGCTCGCTCATGCTAGCCATCATCTCCGGATTCATGTTCTTGATCATAGACGTGAACATCTACCAAATACAGAGAATTATACTATATGAACTACATCTACAAATCACATTATGTTACGTTAAAATAAGTAAAGATAGACCAAAACCTGTCGCATCGCTGGATCTTTCATTTGGTTTCTCAACTGTTCCTGCATGTCACCAGGCGTAGCAGAAGGGATGCTTGGTTCGAAACCACTTCTTGGAGCCACAAAGGTATTACCCGAAGAACTAGACTCACCTGCAAAGCTACTACTAATCCCGCTCGCTCCTAAGCTCTCCCGTGGCTCATCAGATGCTTCTGCATTGCTGTATGATGATGAAACTGGAGCGTTTGCTTTCAAAGACGACGCCATGTTGAACATCCTCTCACGCTCTTCTGGTGACATCTTACCCATCATATCAGATGCGAGTTTAAGCATGTCGGGTTTGGGTGCAAACCCGTTTTCCGCAGATGTCGCAGTCGGAGCGAAAGGGTTGTCTCCTTTGAAAGAAGAGGCTGTTTGGACCATTTTCTGAATCTCTTCAGGAGACATTTTGCCTATCATGCTCGACGCAGTTTTGAACATGTCTGCTGACATTTCTCCAGCTTTGCCTCCGCTCAGAGCAGCTAGTGTATCGGGATCAGTCTTTGAAATGAAGTTCTGGAACGTCCTACAGAAAGAATAAAAAAAAAGCAAAAGAAAATTATCCAAACCGTGCAACATGTAGCAGCAGAAAAAGGATGATTTAGTCTTCCAAGTGATAACTAGGAGAGAAATAGATGAAACAACACATCTAATTTAAACAGTAGTGTGGAATGGTGTTGAACCTGATTGCTTCTGGGTCATCTCTGAGAGCCTGCAATCCATCAACATCTGTCTTTACGCCCTGAGCATGCCCACCACCGTTGCTTTCTCGTTGTCTCCCGTTAACATCCGTAGACGGTTTTTTATTTTCTCCAGAAGTAACAGTACTTTCTTCAGTTATATCTTCAATCACCACACCTAATAACCAAACAGGATAATAATTTTCAGTTGTTTGGCCATTCGTGGATGGAGCAGATCATCGATGCAGCTAAGAAACGTCTGGTCTAAACAAAATACACTATATTATTTCGAACAATTTATTAGAGAAAAGATTATACCTCTAGCTGATGCTTTGCCAGGGCCCTCAACAGCCAGTCTTTCCTTAGTATCTCTGCATATAAAGATAAAACAGTTAGTCAAATTTAGTTTTAAAATTGTGGACATTCAAACCTCTGAAATAATCAGAAGTGAATAGCATGACGTTACAGTAACTAAAATCCATACCTTAGCACATCGGCAATGGTCTCATCTTCAGGGGAAACTTCGAGGGCCTTGCTAAGATCGGAGACGGCATCCTTATAGTTTTACAAAGTCAATGAGCAAACAAGTATTCGGGAATACGCACATATATATTGACAAGGAATACTCAACCATAAGGTACAGAAGAACTCACTTCAAACAGCCCAAGATCTCTGTAAGCTTGACCTCTTCTGTATAGCGCTTTGACATTCCTTGAATCATATGCCAAAACCTGAATTAATGTAAAAACGATAATTTTGTCAGAGGAACGTCAAGACAGGATTAATAGATCTTGAAGTCCTGTATGAGAACATGTATTATATCTACAAAAAATGCCAAAAGAGCACTTAGCATCTACGAAATTTTAGAATACCAAGAACGTATACAAGGTATGTAGCATAGCATACCTCAGAACCTTCCTTAATGCACTCTTGATGCTGATTCGTCTTCAAATAACATGACATTAGATTGAGGGAACAAGCCAGCAAAAGTGCTCCACCTTTAGAAGCTGGAATGTCCTTCAGATTGTTCTTCGCCTGAGATATGATCCAGGAGCATCGTTAGAGAAGCAGGAAGAAAAACCGCATATTAGCAAAGAGATAAAACTCTTCTTGTTAACTAAAAAAAAAACTGAAAAGTCAAGAAGCATGACAAATACGTATGCAGGCTTACACGCAAATATTTCTCTGCAGCATCACTGAAATTTCCTCGGCTATGAAGCTCATTCCCCTGCAGAAAAAAATAACAGCAAACGAGAATAACATCAAAGTTTAGACAGCATACATTCTGATTAACATCAAAGTTTCCAACAGTTTCTCAGTTATGTGATAACACGAAGAGACAAATACAAGAAAACAAAGATCCCTTCTCTCCCAAAAATCAAACACTTGCCTGTTTTTTCAGCATCTGAGCTGCGTTTATTTGATAAGTGAACTGAGCATCAGCCTGGGCACGCATAGATGCAATCTCTTCAGGCGAAGCTTTTGCCATCTTCTCGCCAATCTCAGCCATATCCTCCGGGCGAGTATGCTTGAGCTGTTCCGCAGCTTGCTTCAAATCTTCAGGCTTCATGTTCTTCATACTCTCCGTTGCCATTTTCATCAAATCTGGATTCGACATCATCTGTAATAACAATGACATAAGTTCATTATACAGAAGAGAATGACAATCACCTAGATCCGTTGTACCCAAAAAAAAAAAAGATCATAATAAACTTATTTGTCTCCTTGTATTTTGATCAGTACAAACTATAACTTCCGAGAATTTCTTCACTCAGGAGAAGAGAGTTGCAGAATGATGCAGAGATGCATTGCATTCCACAAAAGAGTTTGCAAACGAGACATTGATTTTTAAACAAAATCAAAATCAACATCAAAAGAGTCAGCTTGCAAATCGCAATAAGCCTTGAATTAATAATCCCAATCAAACCAATCAACTAAATTCAACAACTTGAATTAAAGGGAAAATTAAGAAACCTGCTGTTGGATCCTAGCGAAATCAGCAGGGGACATACGGCTCATCTGATCTTGAGCTAGCCGAATCATCTCAGGATCCATCATACCGTTAAACATCTTGTTTACTCGGAAGAAGCTTCGATGCGGTTCTCCGGGATCAGGTCGAGAGAAACAACAAACCTCTCGCGCAAATTCAAATTAGAAACTCGGAATCTGGATCGAGATTGAAACAAAAGGCGAAATATCAGTTGAAAAAACAAGAGATTACGAATCGGGAAATCGAGGAGAATGGTTTGCGCACGGTATGTACTTTTGCAATAGAGGAATTTCTATATACAATTGCTCAACCTCTTCAATCGACCGACCGGAATTATGCCTTGAGTGCAGAAATGACATATATACCCTTCCACCGTAACGAGGTAATGACGTGCCATAATTAATTCATTAAAGAGTTGTATTAATTAGCGTCTGATAATTAGGATGATTCCTACAGAATAATGCATGTCCTTGTCCATGTTGGAGAACGGGATGTGAAGAAAACCAATGACATCATCCTTTCAACTAATGCATTTTGTTGGTGTTGGGTTTTCCACTCAAAATCCGGCCCAAATAAAATAACTTAATTAACATAAATCCAGCCCAATAAGCCAAAATTTACTAATTCTTTTTTAAACATTTAGCAGGCCGGCTCAAATCAAATGACACGTTATCCTCTTATATAGGTCTGCCTTTCCTGATGGTTCAGATGCTTCAAGATTCTCGAGCACGTATTACCGCAAGAAGAGAATGACTTTAACCATCAATTCGCATATGTAAAGGAGAGGACAATAGAGAACGAATGAAAGGAGTCATCTAATTTTCGAAGTGAAAACGTATGCTTCAAACTTTTATGTTGATTCATTCACAAAGAGCATTAATCCGATCTCTATGTTTTTCTTTATAACTTATCAATAAATAAACACGAGATCACTCACGTTATGAGAAAGTTCTGATCTTATAAATCCTATAATTAGATACCCTGCTAATATTTACACATATGATACAGTTTGAATCCTTTTTCTTAAACCTAAATGATTACCATGTTAAATGCCAATACGTTTCTCAAATATGCATATCACCTTTTGAATACACATTCCATCACTTTGTTGGCTCTCGATACCATGATCGATTCTGAACTCAAACAAGTTGAGCATGGATTCACGGTTTTTTGTCTTTATATTAAACAAATTATAAGATAAAATACTTCTTTTGAAAATTTTGCAAAACAATCATTTTTTCTTTGTAGCTTGTTCTCTTCTCAAAACCATGACCGATTCTGCTCAATATTGTGTTGTGGATATCTTAGCACCTGACTCAGATCAAGTTGAACTTTTGCGATATAAAAAAAAAAACTAGCAAGTGTGGCATATACTGGATATTTTGATATTTTCATTTTATCAAAGATAGCTTTGATTTTACTGTAAGCTAGAAGATTTAATCATTAAATTTCTGAATTTTCATTATTACTACCGTGAAATTTAAAAGTATTTTCACAACAACAAAAAAAATGGTTGGTCAAAAGTATTTTACTATTTGTACACATATAAGTTCGATAGAAAAGGGGAAAAAAAAAAAGGTTAAGGATGGTGGAAAGAAACAGAGAGAGGAAGCTTTGATTGTTTGTCGGGACGTGGAGGGATCTCACGTGGCAGTTTCACTCTGATTGGTTCCTTAAACGTCGGCCCACGTGGCATGCCACTTGTCAATAGGGCCTCTCTCTCTTATTACAGCGCAAGTTGTACGATTGCCGTTCTGATTAGGATGCGTCACATCAGTTCACATCCCCACCTCCCATTATGGAAAACCCTCTCTTCCGTTTTTATCTCCGTGTCTATTTATTTCTGTTTGCCCATTACACACACCGAAAATATTATACAAACGAAAAGATTTGTAAACTGTAACATATTTTTTTGTTGTTAAAAGTGAAGATCATACAAAAACATTTGTTGAGTGGTTGAGACTTGGAGCAACATGTTGTTGTGTATGTATATATTAGATGATAGAGGTCGACCATTAATTGGAAAGGATTGAGACAGAATAATGGATCAAACGTTTTCATATATAGTATCTCCTGATAGGACTATTGATCGTTTTTATAAACTCCTAGTAGGAACTAAAAACACTATAACCATTACCAGATGGAAGATGAATGTTACGTTCTAATAAAATCGTCATAAAGCTGTTCTCATACGATTTAAACCAGTGGATTATTTCGGTTCGTTTGAGGTGTACGTATGTCAAAAGTTGAAATTTTGCACGATCCGTGTGTTAATATATGAACAAACTCCATCAGGCCATGACAGTTTGCAGCTATGCGGCAACTGTGTTCACTTGTGACATTAGAATTAATGCTCTCTGATATTTACACATACACTACCAGTTTCATTTTCTACACCCAGTGACGTACCGCGTACGTTTATCAAATGTAATTTTTTGATCGAATTATAAATTCTTGATAAGTTTGATTCACGAAAGAGCGAACGACCGATATGACATCATGCTTGACATTAAAGAGATAAGTACGTAAAACTAGAGTTCAAAAAAAGTACGTAAAAACTTGGTTTATAAGTATTTTGTTTTTGTATATAGCACGCAAGTTATCAACTACAAATCATGAATTGCTGATGCATGCTGATGTGTTTAGCAGATTTTGTTTCCTGGTTACAAATTTGTTAGAGATTTAACTGCAGTGATTAAGGATTCAGATTTGTGACGACCAGAAATAATATATTCTCTTGGACATTGGTGTGAACGGAATCCAACAGTTGGCTCTGATTGGTGAATTTTGGTGGTCTCTCAACAAAACTAAAACTAGCATCATTTGCATCTTTATCCACCCCTACACATATATCTCCTCTTTATCTGATTTTTATCTTGCTTTTTTTTTCTCTTCTCATTCTAAAACAAGTTTAGCATGTTATCAGATTCAGTTCCACTTTTCTCAACTTTAATTATGATTCGTTTTTGCGGTGGTGTGTACGTTTTCATATATATATATATATATATAAAATTGCTCTTTTGAAATTACTCTACTTTTTGCGGAGTTTCCTTTGTACTTTTCAAATATCCTATGATATGTTTTGAAACATAATTCTTTTATTTAAAACATAATTCATCCATTAATTGGTGACGACCAAAGAAATAAATAACCGGAATGAACCTCATGTACTTGACCTCTTTTGGAAACAACTGTAAAATATAATTATAAAACCACATTGAGAAAAAGTGAAAACCCCAATAGATAAATATAATTATAACGATGTCAAACAAAAAAGAAGATAAATATAAGTACAATAAAGTTTCTTTTCGAAGCATAGTATATATTAGTAAGAAAAGAACTATATATATTCTATATAATTCACAACTTGAATACAACAAGGGGGAATTCATCTTTATAACCTAAAATTTGATTTTTTCTCAATATGTAGACCCTTTATTGAATATTTGGCAAAACTAACTCAAAGGGATAGTGAAATTACAGCTTAGTCCTTTGTGACTAAACAAAAAACGTCTGCCACAGTTACGATTTTATCCTTCGAGAAATCTACGTAAGAAGTCTACAATCGTTGTATGTAGACTTCAAAAGAAGTCTACTACATAATTCGTTTTTTAAAAATTAATTAGAAAATATAAAATAAATAAATTTCTAAAAAAATGGTAAACATAAATAAGACATATACATTTGACATGTATAGAATACAAAATTTCATACAAATGAATCAACTTAAATGCAAAAAAAAAATTAACTAGAAAACATACAACCCCTTAGAAAACATATGTATGCGGTAGACTTCTCGAGTAGACTTCTCCAGTAGACTTCTCTAGTAGACTTAAAAAAAAAACATAGCGGGAAATCAAAATTATTTAACAAATTGGGCGGGAATCGGAACAAATTAGGCGGGAATCGAAATCGAAAAAATATATTGAAGTAGACTTTTCGAGTAGACTTCTCCAGTAGACTTCTTAAAAAGTCTACTTAACCGAAAATTTTCCTCTATATATAAGGAGATTAACCTAATTAGGTTAAAAATAAAGTTTTTCTCTCCCTCTAAAAAATGCCTATCTCTCCTCTACCTCCTCTCTGGCCATGAATCTCTTCTCCTTCCTCTCTTGCCATCAAACCCATCTATATCCTCTATCCTCTCTATCTCAATTATGGCGATGGTAAGCAAATCTGAGGTTTTGTGTTTCTTTTGTTGTTTGTTTTGTGTTCATATTGTAAATCTGGGTTTATTAATGCATATTTGAGCTTCTTGTTGTAGATCTGAGTTTATTCTTGCAAATATGCGCTTCTTATGGTATAAATTTTGTAAAATTTGTTGTAGATCTGAATTTTTTGTTGTTGCAGATCTGATTTTTTTTTTTTTGTAGATCTGATTTTGTTTATTTTGTTGCAGATCTGAATTTTGTTTATTTTGTTGCAGATCTATAATTTTTTTTGTTGCATAGCTGATTTCTTTTTTTCTTTTTTGTTGTAGATATGATGTTTGTAAATATAGCAGATTTTGTTGAAATATGAATTTTAACATTTTTTTTTCTTATTGTGCAGGCCTGAGCTTATTTATTTCTCTTTTGTTTTTGTTGGAAGCAGACTTCAGCTGCAGATGTCTCGAGTAGACTTCTCGAGCAGACTTCTCGAGCAGACTTCAGTCACATACATCTATTTCAGACATTTTGTTTTTATATGCTAATTTTAAGATTTATAATTAGTGATCTTTAAATGTTTGTTTGATTATATGGTCTACTTTATATGTAAAGTTGGATTGTAATTAATGTTATTTTTATATATTCTTAAATTATGTATGTTTTATCATATTCAAATTTCATATGCAGACTTCTTTGTCAGATTTAGTCATCACCATATTTGAACCTCTAATAACACAAGAAAATTAATTCAATTTAACTATACAAAAACATGTAAAACTCATAACAAAATAACATGTAAAACTACTTAGAAATACCACAACTAGTCTTTTTTCACACATTCTCAATAAACAGTGGGTATGTGAACCATTCTCTGTAAAAAAACAAAATTCAAACCACATTAGAAATCATTGTCGAAAAAGTAGACTGCAAACGTAGTCTACTATGTAGACTTCAAATGAAGTCTGCAGACTATTAAGCTAAATACCAAATAAAAGAAGAAAATTAGTTAAAGCTCAACTGTAACAAAAAAAAAATTCAAACTTATACATAAGCAAGAACAATATATCACACACTTAAGAGTCAAATGATAAATTTTATTTGTTACATATATCTGATCAATTAAATTTATAAAAAATTAATGTCGCAGACTACAAACGAAGTCTACGGACGAATAAGCTAAATACCAAATAAAACAAGAAACTTGATTTTACCAAATATATATAATATAAACATGTAAAACTGATACAAATGTAAGTACACTTACTAAAAC